CGCCTCACATCAGATCGGCAACGTTCATGGGCATCTCGTCGACCTGCGTGGGCGTAGTACTGCTCAATGTCCCGCAGGATGCGGATGTCGTCGTCCTTCACGAAGTTGATGGCCACGCCCTTCCGGCCATACCGCCCCGACCGCCCGATCCTGTGGATGTAGAGCTCCCGGTTGTTGGGCAGGTCGTAGTTGATGACCAGGGACACCTGAGGGACGTCCAGGCCCCGGGCCCAGACGTCGGTGGAGATGAGCACCCGGCTGGTGCCGGAGCGGAACTCCTTCATGATGGACTCCCGCTCCTTCTGAGGCATGTCTCCGTGCATCGACGACACCGTGAAGTTGGCTTCTCTCATTTTCTCCGTCAGCCAGTCCACCTTCCTCTTGGTGTTGCAGAAGATGACGGCTTGCGTGATGGTCAGCGTGTCGTAGAGGTCACACAGCGTGTCAAATTTCCACTCTTCTCTTTCCACCGCCACGAAAAACTGCTTGATGCCTTCCAGCGTCAGCTCATCACGCTTCACCAGGATGCGGATGGGGTCCGTCATGAACTTGCTGGTCATCTCCAGGATCTCGTGGGGCAGCGTGGCGCTGAGGAGCACCACCTGCGTGGCCGGGGGCAGGTACCGGTACACGTCGTAAATCTGCTCTTTGAAACCTTGATTCAGCATCTCATCAGCCTCATCCAAAACCAACATCTTGATCGCACATGTCCTCAGACTCCTGCGCCGAATCATATCGAAGACACGCCCCGGCGTGCCGGCCACCACATGCTGCCCGTGGTCCAGCTTCCGGATGTCCTCCCCGACGTGGGTGCCCCCGATGCAGGCGTGACACTGCACCTTCATGTAGTCACCCAGCGCAAGCAGGCCCTTCTGGATCTGCACGGCCAGCTCTCTCGTGGGGGCCAAGATCAGAGCCTGGGTCTCACGGACCTGGCTGTCCAGACACTGCAGGACGGAAATGCTGAAGGTGGCGGTCTTGCCCGTGCCAGACTGAGCCTGCGCGATGACGTCTCTCCCTCTAATGATCTGCCGGATGGCGCGCTGCTGGATGGCGGATGGCTTTTCAAACCCATAGGCGTAGATGCCACGCAGCAGGTCCTCCCTCAGATCCATGGTGTCGAACGTGGGCGTCACGTCCACGTCCTCGCTGGTCTCGAATTCCACTTGGGTCCCGTCTTCCTCTTTGAGCAGCCGCTTCCTCGCCCACCCTGAGTTCATCATCCTGCATCCAACAACTAAATTTTAGTTACCAGATATGGATAGATGAAATTCAGCACTCCCTACCAAGTTGAAACTCAGTTATTGTTGTGGTCCAACCCCAGCAGGTCCAGGGGTTCCCAAAGGTGTGGATGGAGTCGGCGAAAAATGAAGGAATGACACAGAGACAGCGTTCAGTTGATCAGCAGCCTAGCCAGGTTCTCTAGCCAGGATCTCCAGCCAAGTTCTGTGTCTTCTTGTCTTGTTACATCTGTATTTATACCAGTTGATTTTAATCCTATCAATTTCTATTCCAAAGGTTAGGGCGTTTTTTATCTCCATTCCAGGGAGTAAAGATTATGTAGCTTAAGAGTGACTGTTCGTAGTTAAAGTGATTAACTACCCGCCTGGCACTTAGTTAAGGGGTTTTATCCCCTCCCTAACTTCAGGGAAAAATCCCTATCTGGGAAACAACCTTTCTTGGAGAAGTGACCGTGGTTAAAACACATAGCGGCAAGAAGGGGAGCTAACATATTAAGAACAGTATGCCTTATACACCAGGTCCCTTGAGACATATGCTGTGCAGATGTTTCTTCCCTGCAGCGACTGTGTCAAGCAGCAAGAATGGACCAGCTTCTGGCAAATTCCCCCTTTTTTATTTTTTAAATGATAGCGCATGTAAATCAGCAGCCACCTCTCAGATTGGGTTGTTTAAGATTCGGAAGAATACTGACAAGCAATGATAGCGAACATAGCTATAAACATAGTCTATGGAGTGCACACGGAGCCTTGTTCCTGTAGAAGGTTGCTGGCCTCTTCAGTCAAGGGATTTCAGCTGTCCTCAAGTCGGTGGTTTGGTTGTCCTTGTTGATCTGGCTAGCGGGCGGCATCATTGGCAACGGGCTTCCCGAAGCGTCATCGAGTTGAAGGGCTGGATCAAAGGGTCCATCAGGGCCGTGCTTGATGGTGGTGTCGGTGTCCGTGTAGGAGTCAGCTGTGCCCTCTGAGTCGGCTGATATGGAAGATACCGGGGAGGAGGAGGAGGAGGCAGAGATGGAGGGTAGTAGAGAGAAAAAGAAGAGAAAGCAAAAGAACTATAAGGCATGGAAGTGTTTAGAAAAAAGAGGGAGAAGAAAGGAAAGAAGGCAGCATCCTGACACAGCCCTTTCCTTCAGCTGCCCCTTTCCGTGTGGTCCAAGGTAGAAATGGGAAACAAGTCCTGTTGCAGTGAGAGGGCAGCTGCTGTCAGCCAGTCTCTGTCTTTACCTGGGTCCCGATCTGAGCTGGGTGTGGGAAGCAAAGCAGCCATGGGGGCAGGAGACCTCCCCCAGAAGGGGTGAGGGTTCAGGCCTCTGCAAAGTTGGGGGGGTGAGGGTCTGCGCCCCACCTCTGTTGACCCCCAAGTTGTCTCCTAATGGCCCCTCTGCGACTGTGCCTGTCTTAGGTTGTTCCTTCCCTGAGGAATCCATCCTCCAGGGCCAACCAGGGTGATGTGAGGTGTGCGAATGAGGGAGGGGCAGCGCCCCCCTGCAACAGGTTCAGTTCTGTCTCCTTGGTATTCTATGCCCCTGTGGCCTCCATGCCCAGCACCTGCCTTGGGCTCCCCTCGCCTGCTGGTGGGGCCCCGGTATTGATCACATATCTTGGGGAAGCCAGGTTTCTTCTCCAGGGAGGGCCCAGCTCACACCATTGGGCGAGAAACAGATCCATGGCACTGGCCACCAAGAGGCCTCAACCTCAGCGTGAACAGAAAGCCCAGGCAACAGCTGTGGGCAAATGGACTGTGAGAAGAGGGTCCCTCTTGACATAAGGGCAAGAGGGGCCAATATAGGACAAAGGAGGAATGACCTGTCAGCAGGTAGTCCCAGGACAGGGCTTTCTCAGCCCAGGATTTTAGGCTCTTGACACAAGACAACTCCACGTATGGGTCATATACCAGTCACCCCCTAGTATATATATAATGATAGGATTCTAACAGGCAGTGACCTTAAATACAGGGGCTAGGGAATCTTGCTAATTAAATTATCCTAGATCTTTACCTTGAAAATGTATAGTGACAAAGGGAATGACAGGACACAAATGAACTCTTCATATCTAAGGTAAAAACAATGCATGAATTATTCTAGAATCAAGATAATTAAAAAATATTATTTCCTCTAGTGATTGAACAGCGGATATTCTACCCTTGATTTACCACTTGAAAACACACACAAAAAAACTAAAGAATATCTTAACTCAGTGCCCTCTGAAATAGCCTTGGGCTGATTGTTTAGCAACTGTCATTATCACTGCAATCATTGGCTTTGACCACAAGAGGGAAATTAAATACAGTAATGAGGTTATTACACATCAGTTCTAAAAGTGATGACTCAGTTAAAGAGAAGAGACTAAAAAAAGTTAGTATAATCTACTTATATAAAAACCCTGTGTGGAGTTCATCACAACCAGGGTCTGGCGACCAAGCGGAAGGAAGTCAGTCCTGCAGGGGTTGTCTTGGAAACGGCTGCACCCTCCCCCAAGGTGTTTCCTGTAAGGGCGAGGTTAGAGGCAGGAACCCACCCTCGGAGCGTGGAGGCATATCTTTATAAAGTGTGCCATGCCAGCACGGCCATGGGTGAACCTGAGTGGGGGCGGCTGAAAGGGTTAGAAAAGACAGACAAGAGAATAAAATCTGGGTCTGGGTGGGATGCTGCTTCTCTGAGAAACAGCGACCATGCCCTCAGCCATGTCTTTATTTTATAGCAGATGCCACAGGGCAAAGTAAGGGTGTGACCAAGATGTTTACAACATTCTCCTGGTTTTCAATCCTACTCAACTACATGCTCCTGAACTCTATCAAGCCTACATCACCCATGTGTTTGGGCCATTGGTTCAAGCTTACAACTATAGCTGTTGGCTATAATTGTGCTGGGAGGGCCCTGCCCTCCAAGCTTGGACTTGCACGTGGCAATGAGAGGACTGTGCCCTCTCATCAGTCCAAGGCTTGAACCTGTCCAAAACACTGTAGCGGCTCCTCACAATAAAGTTTTGATACATTATATTAGAGGTTGTGGTGGTACTGTTTTACCCACAGCGTCTACAGGAATTGCTGCAAATTAACTTCTCGGTGGAAGAACCTTTCATTCCCAATATAAATGACCAATTCAAGCACTCTGAAAGTGTTTTCACTCTTACTGTGGTGTACAGGGAGATATTAGAATAAGTTTAATCAATTTATCAGTCACTGTTTGCATCACTGTTGTTTTTATATCATGTTTTTGTTGTTTTCATTAATATTTTGTTTTCATATCATGTTTTTGTCATTTTTATATCATGCCTCTGTTGTTGTTATATCCTTTTGTTACTATTTGTTTATTAATAAATGTATATATTATTTTCATATACATTTTACTAATTTCCTTTCATTTCTCACACTTCTATTATAGAGAAAGGGCAAATAGCAATATTAAAATATCACTGCTAATTAATTCCTTTTTAAAAATATATTTTTTATTGATTTTTTATAGAGAGGAAGGGAGAGGGATAGAGAGTTAGAAACATCAATGAGAGAGAAACATCGATCAGCTGCCTCCTGCACACTCCCCACTGGGGATGTGCCTGCAACCAAGATACAAGCCCTTGACCAGAATCAAACCCGGGATCCTTGAGTCCTCAGACTGATGCTCTATCCACTGAACCAAACTGGTTAGGGCAATTCATTCCCTTTTAATGTGCATGAATTTTGTGCACTGGGCTACTAGTATTGTAATAACCCTGGGTGGAACCAGGTGAGTACTTAACATATTGTGGGGGGAGGGGATTACTCTCTAGAGTACATGATTGTCTAACTGCTATGCTGTATACCTAAAACTAATACAAAATGATATTGAATATAAAATATAAACTGTAACTGAAAAATAAAGTAATAAACTTGAAATAAATAGCAGAAGAGGACACACACAAAACACAAACAATGAGATATCACCTCATGCACATTAGGATGGCTACTATCAAAAAACTGGAAAAATTGGAACCTTGTACACTGTCAGTGGGATTGTTAAAAAAGCAAACACTATGAAAAACAATATAGCAATTCCTCAAGAAAGTAAAACTAGAACTACCATATGATCCTTACTTCTGGATATATATACATGTATATATATCCCCAAAAATGAAAACAAGGTCTCAAAAGGATATTAGCACAACCATATTCATAACAACACTATTCACAATACCCAAAAGTCAGAAGCAAATTAAATGTCCATTGATGGATGAATGAATAAACAAAATGTGACAACAACATACAATGGAATATTAGCCTTAAAAAGGAAAAAAATGCTGTCACATGTTGCAGCCTAGATGAACCTTGAGGACATATGTAAGTGAAATAAACCAACCACAAAAAGGCAAATGCTGTATGATTCCACTTATATGAGGTATTTTAAGGATCAAAGCCATAGAAACGGAGAGTAGAATAGCAGTTATCAGTAGCTAGGGTAGGGGGTAAAGGGACTTGTTGTTTTAATGGGTATAGAGCAGCCGTGGGCAAACTACGGCCTGCGGGCCGGATCTGGCCCGTTTGAAATGAATAAAACTAAAAAAAAAAAAAAAAAGACCGTACCCTTTTATGTAATGATGTTCACTTTGAATTTATATTAGTTCACACAAACACTCCATCCATGCTTTTGTTCTGGCCCTCCGGTCCAGTTTAAGAACCCATTGTGGCCCTTGAGTCAAAAAGTTTGTCCACCCCTGGTATAGAATTTCAGATTTCAGGATAAAAAAGTTCTGGAAATTTGTTCTACAAAAATGAAAATATGTTTAATACTACTGAACTGTACATTTCATAAAGATAAGGATGGTTTTAAAAAAGAAAAAAAATCCACATCTTAACTTTTATATATATTACTAGAGGCCCGGTGCACGAAATTCATGCACTGGGGGATGGGGTTCCCTCAGCCAAGCCTGCCCCTCAGTCCGGGAGCCCTCAGTGGATGTCCTACTGATGGCCACAGTCTGGCAGCAGAGGCTCAGTGCAGCCGTGT